GAGGCCCACCCGTAGCTCTTCTGGCCTCCTCCTGAAGCTTCGTGGGTGTCTTCTTGTCAAAATCTTCAAAAACTTTCGTTCCGTTTGGACTCCGTTTGATATTGATTTTCTGTAAAAGACAAAAACAAGGAAAAACAACAACTGACACTGGGCACTAGGTTAATAGATTAGTCCCCAAAAATTATATAAAATAGCATAATAATGCATATAAAACATCCGAGATGGATAATACAATAGCATGGAACAATCAAAAATTATAGTTACTTTGGAGACGTATCAGCTACTAACTCACCATGGAGTATAGGTCTGTGCCGATTCTGATAGTATGTCGAGATCAAAATAATAGGTTGGTCATAGAAAAAATGAATCCAAGAAAAGGTAAACCGAAAACAAAACTTAGGGGAAAACAAAAACTAAAAACGCAAACACGAGTCAAATGGGCGGGATGACTTTGTTTATAGTTGATGTTTCCGTAAGATTTGATTTGATTTGGGCATGAGCAGTGGAAGGCAAGGAATATTTGGTTTTAGTTGAGACTTTGTTTAGATTTGATTTGATTGAGTTAATGCATGACGTTGCTTTGGAAAAGTGCCGATTTGGTTGAATTTTGTTTCAGGATGTATCGATTTGGATAGTGTGCCGAGCACAAAATAATAGGTTGTTCATAAAAAACGAAAACAAAAAACAAATAGAAGAAACAAAAAAAAACGTGTGCATGCGTCAAATGGGCCAGCCAACTTTGATTTTATTTGATGTTTGAGTAAGATTTGATTTGATTTGGGTATGTATAGTGGAGGACAAGGAAAGTTTGGATTGTTTGAGATTTTTTTAAAAATTTATTTGATTGAGTTAATGCATGATATTGTTTTGGAAAAGTGCTAATTTAATTGAGTTAATGCATGCATCAAATGGGGCGGCCCAAATTGGCCACACTTCATTGAAAGGTCTCCTGTATGATGCTCGCATGCATAATATAGGGTTTGCCGAGGGGTTAGTAAGAGGTGAGACGAGACTACCAATTCGCCTTTTAGGAGTAGAGATTTTTTAAAGATTTGATTTAAATGAGTTAATGCATGACATTATTTTAGGAAAATGCCGATTTGATTGAGTTAATGAATGCGTCAAATAGGCCGGCCCAAATTGGCCGTGCTTCATCGAAAGGTCGTCTATACGACGCTCACAGACGTAATATAGAGTTTGCCGAGAGGTTGGCAGGAGGTGAGGCGAGACTATCAACTTTTCTTTTAGGAGTATAGTTTGTAATATACATGCGATAATAGAGCAACTCCAACCGGACGACTCATTTTCTCTATCCATATTCGTTTGGGTCTGCACAGACAAAAACGACTGCGCAACGCAGAGACTCATTTTTATTTTGTGTTCATTTTATGTGCGCGCGGAGCCATTTCCGTCCCAAATTTAAGACACATTTGATTCCAAGACGGAGACAAAGCACACATTTTCTGTCTCCTCGTCTGCATCTGTCCGCTGCATGCGAGTGGTGACCCATCTGTGATCCAAACAAAACAAAGAGGGGCCACCCACCTATCACACCCAATAATACTACACCTACGAAAACAACCTACGAAGAGTTACGTAACCTGCCTAACAAATCTATCGCCCCCCCTGATTTTCACCCGTGTGGGCCCCTGCCACATCCATCCATCCAATCGCAGTCCTACACATTGTACGTAACTTTACCTAGGTGTAGCTATCACACCCATCTCTCTCCTCATTTTTGTCTCTCCCCATCCACGCCACTGTGCCTCCACCGCGAGCGCCTCGCCGGCCTCGTCCCGTGGCACGGGAAGAGCTCCATGCGGACGGGTGACGTGTTCACCCGTGGCCTCTGCTTCCTCGACCCCGCTCCTCGCCGCGGTTTCGCCCCACTGCGCCCAGCCGCGCCTGTCGTCGACTCGCCTCGCCGCTCCCAGCTATGCCCGGGCGCGCCCCGCTGCTGCATCCGGGCACGCCCGGCCTTGCCTCCCCGCGCCCAGCAACGCCCCCCGGCGCCCGCCCTTGATTCGTTGTGGCCTTCTCGCCCGTCCTCGACTCGCCTCGCCCCGGCCTCGCGTCGGCGCGCCCGGCTGTGCCTGGCCCTGCCGCGACTGGCGGGCGCTCGCGGCACCCACGCCGCCGCCCCCCGCGCTCCTGATCGGCGATGGGCCACAAGCAGCCGCTGCTAGCCGTGCATGCACGCGTGGAGCACGGGCGCGAGCGCGTGACCCGGAGCACAGGCAGGCGGGACCCGGAGCGTGCAACGTGGAGCACGGGGGCGGTAGAGGCGAGCTCGCGAGGGCGCGGCCGAGCTGCAGGGCGAGCGTTGGGGGCGTGGTGAGCTGTGGGGCGAGGGGTGGGGCTCGTGCGGCGGGTGCAACGAGCTGCGTCCGAGAGCTCGCGGGCGCATGGGCGGGGCGAGGTGGCGCGGGAGCTCGCCCACCAGGTGTTCGACTGAATGCCGATGTGGACATGCACAAGCGTCTGCCTCCCGTTGGACGCGGGCCGAACTAAACGAGCAGACAGACGATTCAAACTAAGAAAAAAAGAACAAAATGGGGGTCCATTTAAGTCGCTGTTGCCTTGGAGTTGCTCTTATAAATTAATATACAATACCAAAATATATATTTAATAAAGTATAAAAAGTAAGGTGTCACCGCTCCCACCTAACTGCAGTCTCTTTACTGAAATTCTGAAAATATTTCATGTTACAATGGTTGATAACCATGGAAAAGACGATTGTGAGAAATTTCACTGTTACATGAGATATCAGTAATTTTGTCGAGTTTAAATAAAGTTAAATATAATTCTGTAAACATGACTACAACCCATGAAAACGCATAGACGACGACTGATGAGAGAGGGCGGCCGTACGGAAGAGAAAGAGAGAGAGAGACGGCGGTCTGCAGATTCTTTGAGCACACCCGCGACCACGCCTACGCACTGGGTGGCAGGGAAATAAATAGCAGGACCTGCCCACACTACGCACACTAGACGGAACACACTCTTCGTCTCCGCCCAACACCCCCTCGTCTCCGTCCCTTTTCTCGTTCTTCGTCTTCCATCCTCGAGCCATTTCCATTTGCGCCGAGTGAGCGCTAATTTTGGGCCGTTTCTATATTAAGCACGGCAAAATATCGTTTCCGTCCCCGACGACTATATAATTCCCGCGGAGGCGGTCACCGACTCACCGTAATACCAGTGCTTCACGAGCTCCCTGGGTCTGGGTGGGGAGGTTGACCAGGGCACCTCCCGGATCCTGAATTAAGGCCACCGTTCGTTTCCCCTCCCATCCCTCCCTTCCCCTCCCTTGCATTTAGCCTCTCACCGTTGTGGGGCGAGCCGCGGGCCATTTCCCAACCGTCGTTCCGGTGGTGGCCGGGCGCCAGGTTGCGGTGAGTGACTCATGGGCATCCAGGTCGCGCCCCCCTCCTCCCCGTCCTCTCTGGGCGGCGGCTGCGTGAGGCTGTCGAGGGCCCAGTCGTCGTCGTCGCTGGCGACCTGGAGCGCCGGCATCGCCCGCCGGCGCGCCGGGCACGCGATGGTGACGCGCGCCGTCAGCGCCAGCATCGACAGCGTCGGCAGCCACGGCAGGGATGACGAGGAGTTCCTCAGGAGGATCCAGGAGCTCGCCGTCGGGCTGCACCCGGGCGCCGGCGGCTGCGGCTGGCCGGCCAGCGTGGAGAGGAGCGCCAGCAGCGTCGGGCTGCCGCTGTCGCTCAGGATGCTCAAGCGCAAGAAACGGCAGCAGGGCCAGCGCGGCCGGTGGGACGAGCGGCTGCTCGACCGCGCCGGCGAGTCCGGCTCCGGCCGCGGCGCTGTGGGACGGGCGTTCTCCTCCATGGTGCTCATCATCCGGGAGCTCCAGAGCTTCGCGCTGCAGATGCGGCAGACGCTCTTCTACGAGGACATGCAGAGCGTGCTGGCGCGCGTCCACGCCGAGATGGACGCCTCCTTCGTCTGGCTCTTCCAGCACATCTTCGCCGGCACCCCCGCCCTCATGGTCTCCGTCATGCTCCTCCTCGCCAACTTCACCGTCTACTCCATGGGCGACAACATCGCGATGGCCGCCAACCTCCCGCCTCCCCAGCCCACCGTGGCGGCCGTCGCAATGCTCGACGCCCAGCACGCGGAGCAGTCCCGTCCCGATCAGCGGTTCGACAGCGTGTCGCTCAACATGTTCTCCATTGGCCGCACGGCCTCGGTGGACGGGAACAGCGGCGGCGGCGGCAAGGCTCCGCCGGTCGCCGGGGCCACCGGCGACGATCGCTCGGACGAATCCTCGTACCGGCAAAGCGGCGCGGTGCTTCCACAGGACGAGTCACAGGCGACGCCGGTGGGGGCGGCCGCGGAGGACACGGAGGACGAGCTCATCATCTGGAAAAGGATAGCCGACGAGGCGACGAGAATGCAGGCGAGCGTGCGCGTGGAGGCGCTGATGGACCCGGACATCCTGGCGCAGCTCGTCGCGCCGGTGGAGGCGAAGATGGACACGGAGGACCTGGCCGACCACGCGAAGACGGAGCAGAGATACGCGATGGCCGTGTCCGAGGAGCCGAGCAACGCGCTGCTGCTCGCCAACTTCGCGCAGTTCCTGTACCTGGTGCAGCGCGATCACGACCGGTACGTGCCCCGCCATGGCGCCACCAAACTGTTCGACACAATGTCATCGTCTTTTCACCGTCGCTGACGGGCGGTGGTTTTTCCTGATCGCAGGGCGGAGCATTACTTCAAGCGGGCGGTGCGCGCGGAGCAGCCGGCGGACGCGGAGACGCTGGGGTGGTACGCTACGTTCCTGTGGAAGGCGCGCAACGACCTGGCGGCCGCGGAGGAGACGTTCCAGGAGGCCATTGCCGCCGAGCCCAGCAACGGGCACCACGCGGCGGCCTACGCGCACTTCCTGTGGAACACGGGCGGCGAGGACACATGCTACCCCCTCGACTGACGCGCGCGCCCGCCGGCCGGCCTCCGAGATCCAGCAGCACACCACGTCGATACGTCCCAGAACACGAAGAAAAAGAGTATAGTAGGAAGAGAGAGAGGATTTTTTTACTCCACCACCGCAAGAAGTCCACGCACTTCTCTCCCCATGTGCTTGGCCAACCACGAAGCAAATACCAGTACGTACTACGCTTGCAAGTGCAGCTCATACATTCACACGGCATCACAGTGCAAGAATCTCTCGTTTTACTTTGGCTTCTTTACGGGGTGCAATGGCCGGTGACGTCGGTGCATGCCGCGATGAATGGTCGGCGGCTGGCTTCCTCTTCCCCTTTCTGGAAATCCGGCGAGTGGGGGCAGTTGGCCGGAGACGGCGGGAGGGCGGCGAGGGTGTGGTAGATCGGGCTCGCGGCTCCACGGGTTTGTCGGTTGCGCTCGGCCGTGGGTTCGCCTAGTAGCCGTACGTGTCCGTTCCGCTGGTGTCGCGTGTCACTCTATCTCCATGGCCGTGGATGCTTGCGGAGTCACGGTCTGGTGGAAAGTGGTGATGTGAGGCTACTCTGTCGTACTATAGATATGGTAAAGTAGAGGGAATCCGCTCCAGTATACAGCAGCAATTTGGCCGTATGTAACTGTGCGCATGAACAAGCAATGAGAATATCTCCAGTTCTCCACTGAAAAATCCTGCATCAAGCAACAAGCATCTCTCTGTGTCCAGATGTGAAGAAATAGGATGCGTCAGCATGAATTTCATATCGAGGAATGATTCTTCTGAAGGCTCATTTTCCTAGAGAAATGGCTGAATCAGATAGATCTACTTCAGTAATCTGCGTTTCAATCCATTATCTTAATATAATAGCTAATGTACGGGAGCTGCTCGACTTTTAGCTTAATTTCTATGTCTGCTGCTGGCTTTTCAGGTGTCTTTAGTCAGTATATATAATACGCCATGTTCCATACTCTGTTGTACTGACCTTTGAAAAGTTGGTTGTCCTTATGAACCTGTTTTTGAATTTCGATTAGCTAATTTTCTCGTTGATTGGAAATCCCATCTCTTAGGAGCTAAGCGAACCATGTCATATTTAAGGTGCAAGTGAGCCTTTAGTAAAAGCAGCAGCATGATGCTGCATAGATAACTAAAAGGCAATAAAATTGCAAATATCAGACCCTCGAGCGCACATTCTTTCACAAAGTTTGTTAAGTAAGCACAAGAGGGGAGATCGCCTGAATGCATCAAACTGAAAGCCAAAATGCTTTCCTGGCCACCAGGCAAATTTATGAACTGACGGTGTATATTTGCAAGGTGTGATTTTCCTGACGGCATTTGCAAGCTGTACATGCCAAGAGCTGGAGGCGTACGTCTAATGGAGCTTCAAACCTTGGTTAAAGTTATCCATTGCTGTTACAGTGCTTATGAACTGATCATGTATATGTATATCGGGAGAACATTAT